ATACAATTAACCTGCATTACTTATTCTCTTACTTACTGCATTATTAACTTATAGATACACTGCAGAATCACAAGTGGGAAAATGCATTTACAATTGATAGACATTCTTGGGGCTTTGTACGTGCATCTACTTTAAAAGATTATTTATCCATAGAGAAAATAATAGAGCAAGTTGTGACAACTGTCAGGTACTAATGGCATATACTTGTAGAATTTACATGTACTAATGACATATACCAATAGTTGCGGTGGTAATGCATTGATTAACATTGGCCCAACTCATGATGGAAGAATAGTACCTATATTTGAAGAAAGGCTCACACAACTAGGTAATTAATAGTAAGCTCATTATATAATTCTTGCCTAGGAACATGGCTAAAGATGAATGGTGATGCAATCTATTCCACAAAACCATGGAAGCATCAGAATGACAGCAGTACTGGCAGTGTATGGTAAGTTGTATCATATACTATCTATTTATTTATTTATATTTTATTAAAGGTATACCAATGGTAGTGCTGTGTATGCAATTGGACTGGAATGGCCTGATAACAATATCATTAAGCTTGGTTCAATAAAGCTCTTGGAGTCTTATACTGCTACACTAATAGGTTATGGAAAAGTAAAGGCTGCAACTGATGGTTCTGGAGATGTTAAAATTACCTTGCCTTCTCTTCCATTGAACACTCCATTACGTTGGGCTTATGTCATTGCATTTACTGATGTAGCACCCAAATGATGTCAATAATTATAGCTGTTTATTTTAAATGCTGTACTTGTTGCTATTGGCTATTACACCTGCATTGCATAAAAGAATATTTAAAGATTATTGTTTGAATTTGTTTCACAAGTTGTAATTATTACAGGGTCATGAAAAGTGATTATAATTATTATAATCATTGCAGAAATACGGGTGGGGCTAATTGGGTGTAGCTAGACTCTAGTTGCTGTTGTTTATTGCAGAGCTAGAGCAAAATGACAAAGCTAGGGCAAGTTAATGCTCTACAGATACTCCATTTTGCAGTGTTTGAAATCTTTCTAACAATATTGGTGTGTTACGTACTTGCTGTAGCTTTTGGCCATGTACCTATCTGGTTACCAATGATAAGTGACTGTGCAGTAAAATCTCCCGAGAAGTACTTCTTTCGTATCGGTGTAGTGTTTGGAGCTAGTTTGATTGGTATCCAGTCGTTTATCGTCTATTATGCCAATAAGGATAAGCAATACAGCTTTTTTGAATTATTGCTAGCATTGATAGGATCTGTAAGCGTTGGAATAGTTGGAGTTGTTAATGAAGAAGAAAATCCACCAATACATTTGAGTATGTATAGATCTCTATATAGAATAAATGCAAAGACTGTTATATTGTTGTTAATTGTTTTGTCCATTTAGCTTTTGCTCTGATATTCTTCTTGTGTTATGATTTGTATATGGTTCTGTCGCTTCTGGCTTACTGTATTAAGAAGCCTTCCATCCTTTTCAGCTTAAAAACAGTTTGTACTATTGTTGGAGCTATCGTTGGAATTAGATGTAAGTTGCTATTTTATAAAAATTTAATTCAAAAACTTTTTATTTGTATTGTATTATAGTAATAATAGTATATGCAAAAAGTGAAGCTGTGGAGCCAGTGTGTGAGTGGTATGTATAAGCATTCTCACTTTTATATTACTGATCAGTTTCTCACGTGTTTAGGATTAATGCATTTGCTATAATGGGTTTTATTTGGAGCTACATGCTCATGGATGATATTGAAATTATTGAGGTGAAGGTCGAAGGAAAAAGGAAAACGCAATAAAAGAAACATTCGCTGATTTCGCTCTACATTTTGTTTACTGCTATTTTTGCTATTGCTTATAAAATACGCTATTAGAAGTGGCTGTTCATAACCCCTAACTTTGACAAAAAAGTATTCCCTTTCTTATAATAGTAATAATAATTAAAAAACTGTGTTTTGTTATAACAAGAGTCAGGAGCCCCTGCAAGAGTAGATCTACACATATTGGCTATAATTAATCTGAGTCATCAATTATGATATGTTTTCCTTTAAATGATTGTTAGCCATTTTCTAAAGCATCCTCCTTCGACTAGCTTCCCGTGATGGATGAATTGAAGAATTAATTATCTTTGCCTCATATGAAGTATTGGTCTTTGCTTTTATCTTGCTAGATTCACCTATACAGAGCCAAAATGACTTTAAAATACAGTTTTTAACAGCTTACTGCCTCTTTTCTTTTTTCTAACTGTGGTAGCATGATGCTTCATTAAATGCTTAGCTCCAGTTCCATACAAAGATTCCCACAGTGTATTTTCATTTTATTATTTTTTATTTCTTTTATATTTTTTACTTTTTTTATTTTTTATTTTATTGCATTAAAAAATTTTTTTTTGTTCTTTAATTTTTATTTCTTTATTTAATAATTTTTAAATTTAGAAATAAAAATAAATTTTTAAAAAATAAAATAAAATAAAATAAATTAAGAATAAAAAATAGAAAAAATAAAAATGAAATTAAAATTTAAAAAAATTTGTAATAAATAATGATAATAATTTTCAACTTTTTTAATTTTATTTTTTAATTATATGTTTTGTTTTTATTTTTCGATTAACTATATTTGTTGTTCATTGTTTTCATCAAGCAGATTCACACACATACATACATGACATGAGCCCCACCCAAACACCTTATCTACCACCCACACACTATTAAATAATACATATCAGCAAAAATGAAGTATTCTGCAAGTATATTTGTACTGGTAATCCTTGTGTTTAGTTTTACTGATTGTCAGTATCAGCCTACATGGGATTCACTGGATAAACGACCATTACCAGACTGGTATGATGAAGCTAAGGTTGGTATATTCATGCATTGGGGAGTGTATTCTGTGCCAAGCTTTGGGTCTGAGTGGTTCTGGTACAAATGGAAGGGAACTAAGGATTCTACATACATTGAATTCATGGAAAAGAACTATCCACCTGGTTTCTCATATGCTGACTTTGCTCCAATGTTCAAGGCTGAGTTCTATGATCCTACAAAATGGGCAGCTCTCTTCCAGCAATCAGGAGCAAAGTAATGCTTCATTTAAATGTCCTTTTATGATTTGTCCTATCATTATAGGTATGTTGTACTGACCAGTAAACATCATGAGGGTTTCACTAACTGGCCTAGTAAGACCTCGTGGAACTGGAATGCAATGGATACTGGCCCTCATCGTGATCTGGTTGGTGATCTAGCAGCTGCCATCAGAAACAGCACTGATATACACTTTGGTCTCTATTTCTCTCAA